CCCCAATAGGGCCCGAATGAAAGACCCAAGCCTACATGTACATGGACCATCCTACAAATTCATACTTGGGCCTGTTTCGATGAAAGCCCACAGAAGGGAACAAGCCTACCCATCATCAAAGCAAGCCCAAATGCTTGAATGACCTCATTGTCACTTCATCCCTCTCCTTTCAGTCGAGTATCTTGAAACCTCTCGAAAACTAGTTTCTCAACCCCACATTCTATGCTTTGCCTTTCTATTATTCTCCTTGGGTCTCTATTGATGTGTAATTGACTGAACTTCCACCTTTGCTAAGTGAAGCAGCTAGGCTCTTATGTTGTAGCCAGGAGCTATTTTTCACGTGGTAACACAAAAAGAAAGAAGGCGCGAGCCGATGAGACGGTCAAGGCTTACAAAGAAGCTTAGAAAGAAGTGTCGTTGTTCGCCGCCATGGTTCTATGTTCAGGGCTCAGCTCATCTGGGATGAAGGGAGGTTTTCTTGATGACATGGCGGGCTCCAAGCTACACCCTTCTCTGCTACCAAATCATAGATCTTCCAGAGAAGACCAAAGCGAACTCGATTCGCGTCTCATCCTCCATTCTTTCTCATAGACTGATGCAGAAATTCACTTAAGGAAAGATCCGGTGAATTCGCGACATTAGCCAGCCGCTTAGATACTAAACCCTAATAGCCAATTGCAACCAAGACTTGCGAATACTCATGTTCTTTGGTACCCTGCTAAGGGTGGGTCAATCCTACTAAGAACCATGCTAAGGCTTCGGGCGAGCAAATGAACTAATGGGTGATAGGGGCGTATGAAAGTGACGGAAGATCTGTGTAAGGGCATGCGGAGTTGGAACCTCACTGGCTTGGCTTAAGAATGCAAACTCATCTGACTTATTTAGTTCATAAAAGATGATTCTTTCGTATAAAAGGTATCCTACCGATCGGAAGTCTTCGTTGGGACCCTTTCAACCATCTTCCTTTTGAAAGAAAGCTAGTATCCTCCCTCTCCTTATCAGTCGAGTATAGTATCTTCTAACCTTACTTCATTTCTTTAATAAGAAAGAGCGCTAGCGAGCTTCTATTCTCTCCGTAAAGTAACCGCCGTACTAGTTATCTTAACCCGAACAACTGGACCTTACCTACTCACTCTTAAAGAAAACGAATGAAGTACCGAGCCGGAAACCTAACTAGGAATCAAACTAGCCTTCTCCCTTATTTATTTTATGAACTCACTGACTCCTTTTTCCTCTCTTTCTTGTCTCCCCCACTTCGTTCCTTTCCTATTGTTGAGTGAGTCAAGCGAGTATGTTTCGTTCCTCTTTCTTAAAAGAGTGGCTAATTCCACTCTTCCCTTCTTCCGCCTTGGCTGGTTGCTGGTTAGTTTGAGGATTCTCACTTCCCTTCTTCGAGCATAGCATGAACGACGTCAGACATCAAGAACAAGGTACGTCAGTCACTGTCCTGTTAAGGAGTGAAACCACTCGACTGTAAGGAGAGGGCAGGTACGTGTAGTCACTCATAGCTGGCTATATGAGTAAGTACGTACCTACATTGACTACGTGAAAGCAATAAGACTCTTAATCGCTCGTATCCCATACCCATGGGCTACTTCACTGGTACAGTAGATAGTTAAGAAAGAGAGCTTAAGGTGCTAACATAGAATCTCTTATATGTAAGGTAAAGGCGTTAGCTCCCCTCGCTTCGCTCGACTTGCTTCGTTTCTTTAGCAGCTACGGAAGAAGCTCGCTCGTGAAGTCTCATAGCCAGATCCCTCTCCTTTCAGTCGAGTCACTTTGTACCTCTCCCTACCTACGGTCGAGTCTATTCTAACCTCTCCTTTCACTCGAGTCACTTCTTTATGCCCTTACACGAGACGCAGATAGCGAGCAGACAGCTAGATTCTTACTGAGAAAACCACCTTGATTTCTTCATATGGGATTATCCACATGAGGAGCATTAGAAGGCCATATAGAGCCAAATAGAATAGAATCTAAATTATACATTCTCGGGCAGAAAAAGGACCGGGGTTTAGCTCTTTGAAGTCCCCAGAAGGATAAATAAACATTATTTTCCTCTCTTTCCAGACGTCTCATCCCTTTCTTCTCCTACCTCTTTCACTAGTAGAAAGGTCTCGCTTCCTCTTCCTTTGGTCGAGTGAGTCAAGCTTCCTAGCCTTAGCTAAATCATCTTCATTAGCAACTCTAGATAGGACTGCGGAGAGGACACCCAGGACCAGAGAGGGATAGCGGGGAGATTCTGACGAGTTCAGATAGGCTTTTGAAACTATAGGTTAGACCTAAGATTCGTCGAGGAACTCTAAGCTCCTTAGCTCATGGAACTCTCTAACTAAAGTAGTCTTCCTATAAAGCTACCGTATAGATGTCCTATAGAGCTCCCGTAAGGATGTCTTATAGTGAGTATAGTATGCTCTATTATTCCTTAGCACTTCGCTAAGCGACATCAACCTCAGCACAAGAGCTAATCCTTTAAAGGGAGATCGTTCAGAAAGGGAGGGCTAGTGGACAACTAGCTAAGCGAATCAAATCCCGAAAGAAATCCACGATCACGAGGAAATAGTCCACGCTTTGTGCTAGTGCCGCTACCTTTCTCGCCAAAGCTATCGCTTTCTCTTCTTAGAAGGAAGAGGAAAGCATAATGAGCGGTACGTTTCATTTCTTTTTGATTTTCCTATGGCGTTTTCATACTCACCCCTGAAAGTGAAATAGAGATAGAGAGAATCTATGAAGTTGGAAGGCGGAAAGAAGCATGGAAGCCCCTTATAGATTAGCAAAAACAAAGAAACTCTTTCTAAATAATATATTGGTTGTTGTGAAGGAAACTCAACTAGTCCCTATCTCCATAAGAGGAGCAATACAGGAAGAACCACAGCTATTTCAAATAAGCGATTTTAGCCCTTTCCTTATCAGTCGAGTGGCTTCCGCTCCTTATGTGTTGGAAGTTTGATCGGAAGATAAGTAGGCAAGGCCATCCAGATAGATGCTTTTTGACCCGGCCTGAAAGAAGGAATACGAGGCGCAAAGCGTAGTGGATATACTATTCCTGCTATCTGACTTCCCGAGGGAGAAGAAGACGAGTGGTCGAACACTCTCGCATTATGCTTGTAACAGATATGCCAGATGGGAATGAGGAAATCATACTGCCGATTAAGCGACTACCCATGAATGGGGATATCACACTGCTTATTTCGCGAGTAATCCTTCATATCATGAAAGATAGATAGACTACTGCCCTTTATGGACTTTTGCGACTAAGCATTTCTGATATTCAAGATGAAATTGAATAAGATAATACAGATGGTAGCGTAGAGTCATTTTATCCAAGCCGTCTAGATGGACCTTTCCTTCTATCTATTTAGATTGTACCCAGTCTAAGTCTGAGTATTCATAAAGGTGCAGTTCGCTTATTCCCATTGATTGAGTAGTTGATAGGACCTCTCTTGGTGGAAGTGAGTAATACTTGACTGGGGGGTAACATGTTCCTTACTTAACCAAGGATAGTTTGGCGTTGATTTTCAATAGCTTGAGCAAAACGGGTTTATTGCCTAGACAGCATTGATTCCATCATTTGTTGGATATCGGCTAGACTAGCCATGGTTTGTTGAATCTGTATGGGAAATAGGAAATAAAAATACATTAGAGTTGTGAAAAGGGACATAAGATTTGGCAAAAGGACAACAAGAAAGGGTTGAAGACCTCACACTCATCCTTCTCATAGCACCGACTAAAGACATCACAAGGACTAACCCATAATAAAAAACTAGACTAACCTATAGTCGGAATCTATCTAATACCTAGGTCACACATAACATATACAATGCATGATGAAAACATTTTCGTGAACACGCGAATGGTTATGCAGTATTATTATTATGGTACATACATCCTAAGGGAAGGTTCTTTTGTCATTACATGGAAAGGTCAAAAGGGTGGTTCCCCATCTGTGACTTGTCGCGTATGCGCTGTGAATGCTTCATTTAGGATTCTGAACCCCAACTTTGAGAACGGGCATTTTCGGGGACTAGCCTCCTTCCTTCTTTCTTCGATCGGAATACGAATGAGATCAAAAAGGCCATCATTGGGGCAAACGATGCAATAGCTTCGGTTAGAGCAAAGCCCAAAATGGCATAACCAAATAATTGTTTAGCCAATGATGGATTTCGCGCCACGGAATGAATCGAGGAACTAAGGACGTTTCCAATACCGACAGCAGCTCCCGCTGAAGCAATTGTAGCAGCTCCGGCACCCATTGATTTCGCACCTTCTAACATCTCGAGTTTAGAATTATCCTCACGCTTTTTCATTCACTTATGTTCAGCTATAAGAATCATTTCTATTGCGAGAATCTAATATAAGAGAGAAGGACAAAGGCTGACATCGTTCATCCCCAATTGTTTCCCATTACAATGAGAAAGAGGTAAACGTTCCCCCCCATAAAAACACTGAGAGCCCAGGCGCATCTGACTATGAGTATGTTATAAACCTCCCATACGTGGGAAACCAGATTCGGATTTGTGACAACCTTGTCAATCACAAACCGGAAAAGAAGGGAAAGAACCCAAACAAAAATGACCAAAAACTCCCTAACTATCAACTTCAAAATTGGAAGCCGATTTTCCCAGTGATGAAATGTAGACATTGGTCTTTCCTTTGTCCTTCCCCCTTATTCCTTTCTATTGTCTTATCGATTCCTCGTCGATTCTTCCCCTCGTTCCTTTCTATTGGGCCGGTACACTTCACACCAGGCCAATCTCGATTCAAGTCAAAGCCTCCTGACGTGAACGGACGCCATTGCTTTGGCTCCAGTCAGTGAAGACGGCTATCAACCTCGAATCAAAACCTTTCTGTTCTCTTATGATATTTCGAGTGAAAAGAGCACTCCCAAAAGCAAGCTTGATCTTATATACGATACCACTAGCGGACGACTATCAGCATCCACCTTCTGCTTTGTAGTAGTAAAGGAATATTTTGAACCCAAGGAACTAATGCCACTGATAGGAAAGACATAGACTCTATGCCCACTTACCGCTCTACCACTTCAATTCAATGACGGACTGAACCTACCTTTCCCCATTCGACCTACCTGAGAACACTAACGGAACACTCTTTGACTCCCACTGACCAGCGGATTCCTGGTGTTGTTTCTTCTTCATTACCATTGATTATTCGGGATCCTGTTGGTGCTGATCGGCAGCGAATATCCCCAGCTGTCCAGCAAGTGGATGGTTTTCAGACGTCGTCAGGTTCTGGTCAGCAACAGATTGTTACGGCGTCCGCTGATATTGCAGTTCAGACGCGACCAGTTATGGGCTTCAACGGAAAATGTTCATATATCGTCCTTGAAGGAGGGTGGGACAAGTTATTCGGCACCGGTATCTGAGGTTCAATCAGTCTCGAAGGATGGGCTGGGGCTTTCTCTGCAACACCAGGTGCAGTCTAGTGCGCTTGTTGAGGGCAGCTTCACGGATCCTGAGTCTGATGAGGACCCGGTGCATACTTTATTAAGATTTAAAACTTGTCGTCTACTTTCAGGAAATGTTTGGAAAATATTTAAAATATTCAGGATGGTATGGATGGAGAGCTGCCTAAGGTGTCTCTGTCTCGGTCTCCTCCCGCTACGTCATCTACTTCGCTACCTAGTGAATATAACTCCCCTGCTCCTTCGTCTCCTTTGAGGCCTATGAATAGATCCCCCTTTATAGATGAACCTATAATCCATACTCTGAGCTGTTTCATTGCAGTATGTGCTATAAAATGGAATGTTGATCCAACTCTCTTAATAAGCTATATTCAGTATGTATTAAATAATAATATACCATTTGATAGTCTCAGAGATCTTGTAATGAGTGGTATCTTCGATAGGTATATTGAAGGTGGGGCTAGCCTTTCGTCTATTACTGAGGTGGTCACTCCTTCATCGAGTGTGCCGGATGCTGGCATCCCTAGTTCGATACATAATACAGTTTCTCACATACCTATAGATCAATCATCTGTTTCTGATGTACCGAATCAGCCGTTAGGCAATATTGACACTAATAAGAGTATCGGCTTCAAGTTCTTTATCGGGACTGCTCTGCCCGTGGTTGCTCTTTCATTCTATAATGGTTCTTCCGGCGTAGCCTTGCCAACTTATATTCCTACATGAACTGAAAAAAGAAAATAGAATATGATTAGTGAAAGAATGATGCTGATCGACGTATATTATCACAAAATTCGGATCTCTTTGAGTTAGAGGATATGGAAATGAAGGTTATTCAAATGGAGGTGAATGAGGGGTCCTATGTATGGGGTGAGTTCAAATTGCTATTTATTCATAAAGATGAGATGGAAGAAGTGATTCTTTTTCAATATTTGTTCGTGTAGTCGATTCAGACTACTACCTCTCTGTATATATTAGACCCCGTGATAGACTGATTCTTATGGCTCTAACAGATTTTCTTCTCAATACCTTGACTTATTCTTATTTTTTGGATTCATCCTTTGCCTATCTAGAAGATCGTGATCTGCTTTCTTACATATCAACAATTGTAGGCTGGGGTCCTGTAGAAGTAGTTATCCTTGTTGATCTAGAAAGGTCAATCTCTACGCTTTCCCGTTCTCGTCTCATGGCTAAACTCTCAAGCGCTGTGAGGGATCCCTTTATCGTCCAACCTTTTCTCCTCTTTCTTCAATTCCCCACTACTCACTAAAATGGGTCCTACCCCTGATTTTGGCTCGGAAGGCCTTCAGGTACCGACATCAGTCCTGTCTTGCTTAATATCTTTTTAGATCACTTTGATAGGGCTTTCCGATCCCGATTTCCCCAGCTTCCTTTCGCTCGCTATTGTGACGAGATTCTAGTCCCAATCCGCGTAGACAGACCGGAGGATGGATCTATAGAAGATATAGTTCCCATTAGGGTCTCATTACTAGAAGAATTCGAATTGTCTGCCCGTTACCTAATTGACTTATGCCTACTCCGGATTAGTGAAAATAGCCCTAGCTAGATTATCAAGCTCTCCTCCCGTAAATGCATTCTTTTTGAATGAAGACCCTGTAGCTGTAGCAAAGGAAGAAAGCGTAGAGGCTCTGCCTGATCCCCTGAGATGGAACAACTTCTGACCCTAAAGAAGGGCTGGCTAACGGAACTCTAATAGAATATATCATTCCTGCAGGACCTCTTTCTCTCAATAGGGGCATTTCTATCGAGTAGTCACTCATTCTGTACTGACTCGGAAATAGGGGAACTTGCTTATTCGCCAGCTTGGGTTTCGGTTGCAGATGCGATTGATTATGCCATTCTTGCTTTCGGTGGAATAGAATGATGAAGATATAGGTATGCACATGATGAAGGGAGAGGCCAAGTGATGGGTTACGGTTCTGCGACAGGTGAAGTTTCGGTTGGTGAGCCTATGTCCTTTATTAAGGGAAGAAAACTTGTCCAATCTAAGCTAAGGCCCGTGTCAAGTCAACCATACCGGACGGATCGGTGAAATACCCTCAACAGGGTGAACTTCGAGTGAAGATTGAGCTGTTGATGTCACATATCCGCTGTCAAATTAGCAATCTATCGTACAGAAGGTCTTGGGGAATTCCTTACATCAAGGTAGTATGCCAGCCATGAAAAAGTTTGGATTGTGCCCTAGTTGTCGCGCTCTTACCCGGGTGCTGCCATTTGTTTGCCTTGTTCGGGTTTCAAATCTTTCTCAAAGATAGATGATTGTGGGTCCTGAGAGGTCGATTCATCATCATGATTATTGGAATGAAGAGGCTTTGAGGACCTTCCTTCTAAGGAGAAAGCGCGAACTTGTCTCTGTATATCAACCACTAAAAAAAGAGGGTTCACCATCGGTTCATTGGATTCCGGGCCGAATGAATCCAGTGCATGATCCGTAGGGGGGTCTTGATTATAAACAAAATTTCTGCCAACTAGTTCCTCTTCCTGCTGTCCCCGTGAGGCAGAGCTACAGCCGGGGCTGCCCGAAGGCGATTTTCCAATAGCTAAATACTCCGGTTCTTGAAGAACAGGAGCTTGGGGATTGTTATCTGGTTCAAGCTCTTCGCCCCGAGGACCATCTTCAATGGTTTGCATGTCAGCAGCAACATCTGAATCACGAAGGCTAACTTCAGTGATAGCAGCCCTGACTTTCTTCAAAGCTTATGGATTGGTTGGGTTATTCGCATGAAAAAAAACCGGAGCATTATTTGCAGCTTCAGCCACACCAGCATTCACCTCAGCAGGTGCATTTTGAACAATAGCCGCATTATCAGCAGCAGGCATCCTTTCAGTGGTAGGTGCTGACCATATTGGTAGCATTGGTTCTTGGAACATAGGCCATTCTCGGTGACGGATTGACAGCAGGCTCCTTATTTGCCACTTTGCATTCGTAACGGGCATGACCTTGTCGTCTGCAATGCGTGCAGAACTTAGGTATTCAAAAAGAAAGGATTTCTTGCTGGCGATCCATAGACAGTAGATCTAACCCAAAGATTCTTTTTTAGGTTTTCCTTGAGAAGACCCCCACTTCTACACAAACCCTAGCTACGTTGGGACGTGAGACAAGCTTCGTAGGACCATAAAGGTAAGGCCAATTACGAAAGTAGAGCCGATAGAAAACAGGCGAAACTCAAAGAAGAAGACAATAAGCAGATGGCCCTATAGAAGTGGGATCTCAATTCCTCGTTTTTGACATGCGGAAATGCTATTTGCTAGTTTTTCCAGAGGAAGGGGAAGGATCGGCCGATCGATACCGTATGGAAAGAGGAACAAGAGAAGAACGAAGCCCTACATCGATGTTTGAACCGGGGTATTGAAAATGTGGTATTGCTTCACGCGGTCTCAGTCTCAGTAGGATTGTGAAAACCTTGCTCCGATATGAGTTTATAAGTATCTAGGGAAGTCCCCTATAATCTAAAGAAAGCTGGAGATTTGGACCTTTCGATTATGGTTGTTACCGAGCTGCGGGTATTTGACTAGGAAAAGCATAGGATTTGTCCTAACATTAGTAACTAGCAACCAGCCCTGCTATGCGAACTGGAAGGGCGGCGCACGGGCAAAGGCTAAGCAGAGTCAGAGCAAGGCAATGAACAGTGGCATACTTCACTAAATAAGTCTGATCTGTCTAAACGGTGATTGTTGCGGGTAATCCCTTCTTTCAATCCCAACCTATGCAGGAATGCAGATCTTAGAAGCTCCGAATGTTGCTGTACGAGAGAACCATGATTGAAATTGAACTGTCGAGTTTTGATTCTTCCTTGCACAACCGGTGATCCTTGATACGTTCAAACCCCTCTCTGGAGAGCGCAATTTTGGTTTTTGGTGTTTCCGCTCGATTACTCCATCTTTTTATGTTATTCTCTATTTCCAAACCCTTTCAATTTCTTATTTGACTATGTTCAATATTTGATTGCTTATTTTGTTTTGACGGCCTTAGCTCCTTTTCCACGCCAAAAAGGGTGCCCCATGAGCTGCGGAAAAAGTGGGTTTGACCAGCGTTTCCTTTTTTTTGAAGGCTTCGGCCCGCTCTGCGCGCTTCATTTCCCTGATGGCGAGATTTGACAATGAGACAGGCTCCACCGTCTGTTGATTCCTCGAATTGGTTGGGTTTCATTCGGTGCCTGCCGACAACTTGATTGGTTATAAATTATGATGATAGAATCAATCTATTTTTTCTTGCCCTTTCATTTCGGGCTTTCCAATTATATGAAAATGAATAACCTCAAGTTTTTTGAGGAACTGCGTGGGAGACTTGCTTGCTTACGAAGAAAGATGGGCCTAAGCCTAAGTCAAAAGTATTTTCCACTGAAGTCTGCAGTGCACCCGGAAGCTTTCTGATAAACAGCACTCAATTCCTT